TTAATCAAATTTTGACAGCTCCAACAAAAGATGATGATGAATTAACAAGTGATTTTTAAAGGAACTGGATCAAATGAAACTAAACTTGTACAGGGTTATTTTAGCTTGTGCAATCTGTTACACTTGAAAGTCAGTGTGTAAAATTCTGAGTATATTTACTTGATTTTATAGGATTTCCCCCAGAAGAATCTTGCCATGATGTATGAGATGTATTACCCAGGCATTCATCCAATCTTTATGTTTTTCTCTTTATTCTTTCTAGTTGGAGGATCTATTATGAGAACTGTAAACGAAGGCCCTAAAAAGATCTCTCGTGTTGAAATAGTGTTCCTAGGGAAAATTCTCATAAGTTGAAGTCATTCAGAAAACAGCTGCAATTGTTACTTTGCTGAAATACGTCTACACTGCTGCACTGTGATCTGTCTTCGAGTGTCTATGGACAAAATGTTACTATACAGCATCCCCCCTCTGTACTTTAGACCTGCTTGGAGCTGTAAGATCTCTTTTTTTTTATTGATTAGTAAGTGTTTTTTAATGAAATGTACTGCTTTTATTATATTGGACTCAAAATAAGATCTAAATCACTATCCAATAAAAGAAAATTATTGAGTCAGATATCTAAAGTTACTACCCAGAGGCTACTCTGGTACAGTATTTATAAATCTCTAAACAGTTAGGTATAATTGTCTTTCTGGGCTTGGGAAAGAAAGCCAAATAGCAGTTTTAGTTAACAACTGAAGATAAATATTTTGTGTCGGGCCCTGTTCATCTGGTGGATAAAAAAAAAAGTAAAATGCACACAATGCAAGACTCTTATAGAAAAAAACAAGAAACCCAAAATACTAAATGGACTAGTCAATAGATGCTACTTGAGGAAGAAAGGATGGAAATGAGAACAGAACGAAGGAAAGGAGAATTACTCCCAGCGTAACTGCCAAGGCAGAGCCCATCCCGTACTCAGTACTCCAGGGTGCTTTGGAAAAATGTTATGACAAGTGAGCAAAAATGCTTAACATGGATCCAGTATTCTCTGTTTTTTTCTCCAAAATACTTCTTGATAAAATAACCTCAATTTGTATTTGAGGGAGCAGAATGAGAAACAGGAAGGACAATTAAAACAAATCTCCAGTTCTGGAAGATGACCTTTTTCTCCACCAGAAACACACCTCTTTACAAATCTTTCTAGGAACACAGTCCATCAAGATCTGTAAGAGCAACTTCAAGATAAACACAGGGCTTCCTTGTTTATGAGTAATTCTGTGAAGAAGTGGGGAAATCTTTGATTTTACAGCATTTTGTATTTCAAAAGCTGAGATATCTTAATGAAAGTGATAGTCTGCTGCAGCTTCAGAGGGATACATTTTGGCCTTTCTGTCCTTGGAATCTAGGTCTCCCAAAGGCAACAAACTGCTCTGGTGACTTACAAAAGTTCATTTTGTTACAGAAAGAGGCATTATCAAGTCTTTGTTTCTGTATGAGCTGTGTGTGCGTATTAAGTTAACCTGAACTAGTAATGAGAAAATCCTTTGTTGATATAAACCAGATTATTTCAAAGAAGTTTTTTCAGCAGTTAATTCATTGGGTATTGGCAGCCCTATTTTTACAGAACTTTCTCTATCAGGAAGGCTTGCTGTCATGTGTCCACCCTCCTGTTCCTCCTACAAGACCTTTCCTCTCAGACTGCATCTGTGTTCTGTTTCAAAGATATGTCCTTGGTTGGAAAGGGATGTTTGGATGGACACAGAGGGTTGGGTGGTGATGAATGCCTATGACTGGTAGTCTTAAAGTAGGTGATGAGCGTGAGGCTCTGGGAAAAGTGAATGAAATCCCCGAATTTGTGGATTCTTTTTCTGCTACCAACTTAGAGCAAAGGAGTTATAGACATAGCCCTGTACTTCAGCACTGGTGAATGATTATGGCTTATCTGATGGTTAAATAAATTTGCATCCTGCTTTTTATGGCACAATTCTTGTACCGGTCTCATCTTTTGTCTCATGCTGGAGTGAAATAATCACAGATACAAACTGGGAAGATCCTTGTGCATTCAATAACCTATCAATTAAATGACTATAATTTTTTTACTTTTTCAAAGGCATAAACATAAATTACATATCAAGTTTTCATATGAGATTCCACTGCTTAGTGACTACATAATTATACATATACAATACTACCTATTTTCTTAGAATAGCAAAGATAAGATTATACTGCGAAATCCCTCACCAAACATCTTGATGTTTAGGCCACACATTTCTCAGAATACTCACATATTTTGTTTTGTTTCTTCTCTTTTCAAGACCCTCTAACAGGTCAACTGACATTCTGCCACACACTCAGATTTTCTAATGTCAGTGTTTCTGATGATCAGTAACAGCAGTAACATAAAAGAACAGCACAGAAGATTCAAAGGATAGTGTTGATGTCTTAATTCAAAATCGTACACTAAGATCTAGAAAAACTCAGATTGGCAATACTTAAGGTTTGCACCAGCTAATGTGTTCAGGATAATTATGTCAAGCAATACACAAATGTAAAATGACAATTCTCTCTGTAAACAAAGGTACTTAATTGCCAGTAAGAAGCTGTGAGTTTGTTCTAGAATGCTGCTTGTTGACTAACAAAAGTTGAATCACCTAGTTTATATAATTGTCATGATAGTTGTGTCCACCGTATGTTAAAGATGCATTTCACAATGCATCACATATATGCACGTCACATTGCATATAATTTCCATAAAGTTTGTGCTATCTAATGATCTAACTGCTTCTGACAGTCTAATCATTGTATTCAAGGTCTTTCAAGAAAATTTACTGCACTGAAAGGAACACAATCAATTAAGGAGTTGTGGATATCATAAGCAGAGAATTTACTGGGAAGATAATTATTTTCTAAAGCCACTGGGCTTATAAGAACCCCTCCTTAGTCAGTGCTCTCAGCTAAAATAGGCTGCTAGTTACCTGCCTTATGTTATGCCCTGTTTCCCCAGAAAAGCTACAGAAAGAGTCACCTTTGTTTTTTAACATGCAGACTGGTACTTACCTGAAGAAAATTTCTTAGAATGTGCCTCTGCTTCTCTGCATCAGCATCACTGAATAGGGCTAAAGGGATTTGGACCATGGCCAGTGTACACTTCCTGACCTATAGGGGCTATTGCTGTAGCAGCAACCTGGGTATTACAGATTCATAAAACAACTCAGTCTGGAAGGGACATTGGAGGGGCTCTGGTCTGATTTCCTGTTCAAAGCAGGGTCAACTACAAGGTCAGATCAGCCTCTTTGAGGCTTTCTGTAGTCAGGTCTTGCATACCTCTAAGGATGGAGAGTAAAAAATGGCAGGTGTTCACGGGGTGCACAAGACCCATATTGTTAGGTTTTTCCATCCTCATTGAGGGATGGTCTAAGATCCTGTGTACTCCCAGAGGTAAAATACAACAGTCTAGTGCTGGAAATGTCTCTAAGCTCTGAGCAAAGACAGAAGGAAATTCTCTTAGACTGCTCATGCTCAAAAGCAGATTCTATTTCTTGATTATTTAATTATATGTGTGATAGGAGACTGTGAGAAGTTCCTCAAAGAACAGCCACTACCCTGGCAGTGAAAGTAGAGATTTGGTTTTGAGAACAGAATTTCAAATTCCAGGTCTAAATCAGCAAAACAGGGAACCTCCATGACTGTCTTCCACTTCTGCAGTGAGTTTTCTAATCATAACTGTAAGTTATCATACTGTGAGCAAGTCAGTCGCACAAATTTATGAGGAAAAAACTCTAACATATTTGGAGTTTTATTGCTTTCAGGTCACATATTTAAAACTTTGAACACCCATGGGACTTAAAAAACCCAGTTTCTTTCTCTTCTTCTTAGATCTACTTTTTATCCAGAGAACTCTCCAATTTGACTTTGAAAAATTAAAACTTTCAGTTTCATGATACAATTTAATTCCAGCATTAAATTCCACTGTTTTATTGCTGAATCTAAGAAAGAATTTTCCAAGTTCAAGTTTCCATACTCAAGAAGTTACACTGCTGCCTCTGATTTTTGGCTCATAATTCCTATTTCCTTATTAGAATGTAAAGAGGAAAACCTGAACTTAATCTTAGTTCTCACAGCCCTAGAGGGAAAACTATCTCTAGGTCAGGCTCATGGGCAAACTGCAGACCAAAGCACTACCCTTTCTACACCTACATTTATAGAAGAGCTAGATCCAGTGGGAATATTTACTGCAGCAGTTAATAGGTTTATTAAAGGTAGGACTTGAGCTGCATAAGCTGCAAGACCCTTCAGGGATGGGAAGATGATTGTTTTTACACTGATGGTCTTTGCCAGGGTGCTTATGACTGCTTTGCAGCTGCTTTGCACAGGCACAGATGGTGTAAAATAGCCTTTGGCTACCTATGAATCAGTACCCTACTCTCAGAAAAGACTGAAGGATTTTGTTAAACGTCCTTAAATGGGAAGCCATGGGAAACCATGGGAAGAAATCAGTTTTGAATTAATTCTAACTGGCTTCTTGAGCAAGAAGGCACCAGAGCGGTAAAGAAAATTTAAAACTCTCGTTCTTTGTATTTTATTTTTTTGTATTGTATTACTCAAACTTGTATTTCCTCTGTGGCTGCAATGTGTTTTACATAAAAAAGAAATCTCATTAGATAGAAACTTCAGGTATTCCAAAGTGAGTATAAGTTATCATTGGCTATATAACAGCAACTGCCCCTGTAAGAAAGCCACAGTGAGAAAGTGATGAACTTATGTATGTTGTAGGAAAATGTTAAAATGAGAAAAAACGCCAGTTTCATGTTCATTCATTTTTACTCTAAAAAATGTGCTTTGTGATATAGCGGAGAAACTGTGTGACTGTCCCTTTAAAAGCCATCATACCAATCAGCAGGTTTAACTGTCAAGCAAGCTGATGTAGGGCTCTTTGAATTACTGAGTGAGGGATATTCTTCCTGCCAGGTCCTGTCCCCTGTAGGCACTGCAGAGAAGTATTATAGGGCAGTCCTTACCTTGGGAATTAGCCTGCAAGACCCCAATGCTGTCATCAAACTGCATAGATTTGATGTTGAGTGACGCCAAGATGCATTCCTTGTCCTGCAGCGAAGCATCATCAATATTATTCTGATTGGCTGACAGGATAACGCACATGTCGCAGAGGTTGATGTTGACAGCCCTTAAATCAGCCCGACTTAATGGCGTACCCTTCGGCACAGAGAAAAAAAAAAAAGGGGGGGTGCAGAAGAGGGAAAAAAAGAAAAACAAATTAAAGATTGAGAAGGAGCTTTGGGAAATTATTTAACAAGTATCTTTTTTATGCTCTGACATTAAGCTGGTCTAACTATGTGCCAGGGAATAGGAGATGTGTGCTAATCTAAAGGGTAGTTGGTGCTGATGGCAGCATTTTAGGTTCACTCTCAATACTCAGTCAAGCTATTACTAACAAACAAGAAACAGGAATAATGCCAGCATTCTACATCTCATCGGTGACTTGAAATTGTCTTGATTTAAGTTGCTATCATGTGGCAACCTCTGGCTCTATGAATATAAGAAGGGGGTTGTTTTAAATGTCTATTTATCTACTACCAAGTCACAATGGTCTTGGGCAAAAGAACGGCAATTTAAACAGGAAAGCATTATGTGTCCTACACATTTGAAATGCAATCAGGATAAAGCTATTTTTTTCTACCTAAAGCAATACACAGAAAAGGTTAATCCTTTTCGAAGCACACTTTTGGTGCTTCTAGAAGGAAAACACACTAATCTTCAAAGCTGTGTGATTAAACCCTTTGAAACAGAAGCAAGACTTTATCCTAGTGGGCACAAGTCATAAAATGTTCCCTGTTCCACAATTCTCAATCGGAGAACTTAGTGGTTAAAATGAAATGTTGTGGTAGTCCGTGTATTTTTTTTCATAGTTAACAAAACTGAGACATGGTACTTAACATGATACGTTTTGTTGAAAGATAGCACTTGCCTTTTACACCCAACAGTCCACAACTGTAGTTACAGAATATTAACTCTATGTCACAGGGGCTGCCAGGTCCAAGAAAAAAATATTTATTTTTAACGGAAACTAGATTCTGCTCTGCTGCCTCACATGGTTTGGTACCCAAAGACCCTAATGATGAGGAGACATAACTGTCCCCTTGTCACACAGTGACTTTCATAGAACCAAGTCAAGACCCTCCTCTTCTATCTCCTGATCATTCATGGTGAACATCTCCTGAACTCCACTGAGAATATTCAACACAAAAGTGAATTTAAAATGCACGCAGGAGCTCAGTTCTTTTTCAGTGACTGTAACGTAGTCTCAGATACCAGATTAATTATTCCATGTTACTTTCAATAATTTAAGGCAGGAAACCTTGTGAAAAACAGTATATATCAAACAGATATGATTTCATTATAAACTACTCAAAAGTTTGGATATGATTATTCCTGCCACCTTAATCCTGCTCTTTGTGCCTGTACTGTGCACCAAGTGAAGCAGGATTACTGTGGGGAAAAATAATATGCAATCATGTAATTAATTAAAGGCTCAGTCCTAATGATTTTATGCAAAGGGACAGAATTAAGGCTGCCTGAGGATATTTAAAATTGGCATTTGCCTACTTTTTAAGAGTTTACTCAGCAGCTTAAAGGCCTCCTTTAATATAGACTTCAAATTAAATGTCCACTTTTTTTTTTTCAAACCAGAACAAATTTTTTTTACATTCAGCTGTAACCACATCTCCATCAGATATCAGCAGCAAGTTTTACCTTGTGAACCAAAGCAGAGAGAAGTAAGAAGTGAGTTTGAGTGACCTCCCTTTAACACGATTCTTACAAGTATAATCTCAGAAATTTTAGTAGATTATTTAATTAGTATAAGCCTAGCCATGATAATTAGATCAGAATAATGCTGCTATTTTTAACTTTATATCATTTTATTTTGAACCAGATAGGCTGGGGGAAAAAAAATGGAAAAAGCAGTAATGAAGTCTGTGTGGTCTTCAGCATCCTTGATTACTGTGTTAGATACAATCTCTTTATATAATTCTGTATTTTTAAAGGTTTATTGACTAACTATTTTAGCTGTTTAAGTCAAAATTAGTCTGAAACTACTCTACATCTGGGTGTAAACTGGGGAAAGTAAAGTTGGTGTACGCTTCCTCTTCAGAAGTCAGAATCAAAACTGTACAAAAATGCATTATAATAATGAATACACATTATGTGTTGGAAGTAGTATCTGGATTATATTCTGCTGCATAGTTCTGCTGACGTCCACAACAGTACCAACAGTTCAACAGTATTCTGATTCCATAGTCTTTAGCCTTCACAGTGACTGGAATTAAAAGGGATTGGCAGAAGGAGGAGGATATTAACTGACCAAATCTGATATTGACACTATTTTTGTGACAGCAGAGAATCTTCTGACACCATCTGTTGGATCAGGTTACAGAAAAAAGCCAAGGGCTAACACTAAAACTGCATTTACAGTAACAAAGACCTGCAGTCTGAATTAATCAAAAAGTGAAGACAGTCCTTTCATTCTATAGCTATTTTTCTAATTATTCAGTTAAGGTTACATCAATCATTGATTTATTTATTTTTACTGTTGAAACAAAATTATTACGAACTAGTAAACTCACAATTTTTCATTCTGGAAAAAAAATCTAAACTAACTTTACTATGTAACATACAGAGCATTCTTTTTCATACTTATACCATGAGCTGGTTTCCCTCTTGCCTATCATTTATAGATATGGTCACCTAAGATTACTAGTTTGGAGGGCTTCATTTATTAGTCCTGGAGCTCTTGATTCTACATTTTGGGTATGTGAGTGAATGATAACGATATCTAGGAGAAAAAGGACTTTTGAATTGTGGTTGTAGTGGTTGCACCTACTAAAATCAATAGGAGCTTTTCATTGATTTAAAAAGGATCAGGGTTTTCCCTGATGATACACTTCCATACAGGAGTACAGCAGGACTCTGAACTGAAATGCCATGGCATTGTTCCTTATAAAGCAGGCCAGTCCACCAAAGTTTTTAAGAACACAGACAGATACTATGTAGATAAACTATAATTTTTTCAAAGGTTTTGTGGGTAAAAATATATAAATAATGTCATAAATAACTACTGTCATTCTGTCAGAGAAATCACAACATCAGAACTAGCTACATGCCGTGCACTACAGTCAATGTTCAATACATAACACTGCCAATACATCTCATAGCAGCTGAAATTCATCCGATGAGGATGACAAGGAACCAAACACTGCGGCAAATATCTTCTAATAAGGTCTCACAGGGCTCTGTTTTCATAGACACAGTAAAGGCAAAAATCTAAGTCCTCAGGCCTATAAGTAGACAAAAGTAAAAAAGCCTAAGATCAAAGTCAATACGAATCTGTCCAGTTGGTGTCCTAAATAACAAAGTATCAATAATATGGCTTTTGAACTTACAGGCAAGATTGAAACCTTGGGGAAGTTATGCAGTGTCTCCCATTCCCTTCTCAGGTATTCAAGTGAACCCACAAACACAATGTGCTTGAGTTCATGGTAGTGAAAGTTGCTGGCTCGTAATGGCATCACTAAATTTCTTAATCCAATCAAAGCAGATTTAACATCCCCAAATATGCAAACGACTACATGCCCACTTAAAACTGTCATCGCTGCTTCACTTCGAGTCTAAAAAAAAAAAACAAACAAAACAAAACAAAAGACAAGGGAAAAATGAAACAAAGGGAATCTTAAATCACTGAGTTTAAAACCAGGAAAAAACACAATTGTCAATATTGTTCATGCACAAAGAAGCAGTTTGATAACAGCTGTTCATTTTACCCTTATTTATCCTTCATTAAATGTGTTCAGAAGAAGAAAATGTCATTCTTGTTTGCAAATCCTTTGGTGTTTGGGAAGACATTGTATTGGACCAAATTCCGGTCCGTGTAAGTTTCTACACATGTGGATTGTGGCTCTGGTTATAATCAAAGCACTATGGGTTTAGATAAGAACAGAATTTGACCTACTACATATTTAACCAATAGAAAGATTATAGAAAAGAGATGCAAACCCATGCCCTAGCTGATGAATAACTAGTTGATTTTTTTCAGGACCAATTTGAAAAAGGAAAAGATGAGAGCCCAATGGCCATAAGTAGCACTTTGTGGTATTACCCAGATATTGTGAATTGAGGACCACAGCCTCCTACAGACAAAGTTCTTATTTTAGGACAAGCTGCTGTTACCCTGAGAAGAAATCAAAGAATGCTCTACACTGCTCTCTTTTACTGCGGATGTTCACTACACTCCACAGAGCTCCTCTCAGTAACAAAAAAATAGTGCAAGTTTGTGACTGATGCTAAATTTTCAGGCCAATGGGACTTCCTGAGTTGTTGAACAGACAGAAGCAAAAAGGTCTGATGGAGAATATTTAGAAGATTTCCAGAATTATCTTCTTGTCTCAATGACAAAAATAAACTTTTGCACTAATTTCATCATTTGTTAGGTCAGTTGAGCATGCAACTGAAACATCAAGACAATTAAATAAAGTAATGAAAAAAAATGACCTAAAGTTCTGAAACCAGTCTTAGCATTGTCATACTCCATCAAATAACTGGAGATCCACTGATATCATATTGCCAAGAAGTTGTACACTCAGTACCATTAGATAGAAGTTTTACCAGTGAATAAAACAAAGCCAGTGGTGAACTGTAAATTTTCCTCTTATTTATCCATAGCATATGTCGTTTTTCTAAAGTATGGAAGCATGGTGATTTGCAATACAGAATGGAATATACAGCAGATATGCTCACTATGCAGGAAGAATGGGAACTCTGATTAGAAGTTTTCTCATCAGTTAAAAAATGCATGAGCTTTCAATTTCCCCAGGGCAATTACACTGATTTTCATACAGCTTGACCAAGAGAATCGTCTTGGCCCTTCAAACAGAAGACATGAATGAATACTCAAGTGAAACATGTAAGTTGCCCCATGCCAAAGGGTCTGGAATACCCAGACTTTACAAGACAGAGACCAAGTCTTGAAAACAATTATGCAAAAAATGTCAGTCTATTGTCACTGATCCATATGTACATTTGACTGTATAGCAAAAAATCCTCCTTACTACCAGTTACTGCTGGAACGTCACAGAGTCAAAACAGACCTTGGCCTGAAAAATGATTTTCTGATTGAGGCATCATCAAGTATCAATTAGGAGACAACCTGGGAAATCCCATCATCTTCAAATTATGCACTAATTTGTACTTGTGTGGTCTCTAAGGACAGCATTAAATTTGCATGGATATGAATGTAGACATAAATTGTGGACTGTGATTTTGAAAAGGTGTAGGGAAGCATTTTGCTGGCAGTGTCTTTATTGGTGACGATGCATGAAGTAGAAAGAACTTGGACAGACTTGCAGATTCACAGGTTGGTAGTAAAAAAAACTAACATGGTATAACCAAGAGATGATGAATGATGCACTCCTCAGCACCATTTTAGGAGGACTGCTTTTCTAAGTGGGACAACATGTAAAGTTTGTCAGCTAAAATGTGCTAATAGCATAAAGGCAGATTTCTATCTCTGTCTATTACAAAGTATTGTATAGCAGGGCTGCCCCTGCTTGCCTGTTGATTACATACAAATGCATACTATTTAAAGCTGTTCAGCCAAACTCCATCTCAGAGCTCCATCTGTAGAATTTGGAATTTACTTGCTTGACTGTTTAAACACCAATATTGTAATTCCAGGCAATGTCACAGTTATTACAGAAACCCCTGAAGAGAACTAGAGACAAGCTTTTAAACCCCGATAGAATAACTGGGGCTGTCACCATCGTTGGCTACACCATGCCACAGTGCAGGAAAATCTAACGGAGCAGGCTTGGGAAAAGCTTTATGAAGTGCGACAAAGTGAAGATCCACCAGGGACTTCATTTCAAATATAATCAGTTTTGTGTATGAGATCTGGAGTTAGTTGCTTGCTACTCTTAGGTATAAGTACATGAACACAAATGGCACAGACTTTCAAAATAGACTGTGATAGGCCTTCTAATTACTTTTAATGACTTGATGGTTTTCTCAGTTAAAAAAATGAAACAAACATAGAATAGGCTCACTTTAACATGCTAGAAAGTCAGAGTAGTGGCACTACTTGCTCTCGCCTCTTTGGGCATCTTGAAATATTGGCAATTGAGAGAGAAGTTCTAAGAGAGCAAAATTAATAAATAATCAATTATAATAATTAGTAAAACATCAATAAATAAGAGACAACGCAAAGCAATACTTGCCTGTATTAGAATCAATACTGCCTTGTGTAAAAAGATAAATGGGGTATGTAAACATTTAAATATTTCCAATCTTAATTCTCTAAAGATTTAAACCAGATATACAGATTTCAGCTTATGAAAATGGAATTCTCCGTTTTGGACAAATTTTTATTGTTGCACATGGTATAAAGATTTATGTAATCATAAAGCTTTAACCAAAATGCTAGCTTTGGTTTCATTATGCTGTGTTTCTGATTTCACTATGCTGGATTTCATAATAGTAGAGACTAATTTATTAATTCATAAGGCATCAGTTCTGTGGTTCACCTAACCTCTTTTGAAACACAACTTATCATCAATACCTACCAAAATAACCTTTTCAATGTCCTTGGCTGGACACCAATGAAACATCCCTGTAGAGTCATATTTTTTCACGTTGGCATCCATATTGTCAATCTGCTCGTTGCCAGGAATTAACAAGGGGTCATGCCTGGGGAAAAACAAGTTGAGGACAACATAAATGGAAAATACTATGAATTATGGATGGAAAAATATCCCAAGAGCTGTGTATGAAGAGGGATAAAACTAAAAAAATGCACTTTAATATGCTTTCAATGAGGACATTTTTAAAGAAAAACCGAATAGAAAAGTTAATTTTTAAATTTTGGGTGCAGTTTCAAAGGATTTCTATACTCTTCCTATACAAATAACCATTTCATTTTAAATAGGGTTTTCTGACACCATCATGATCCATAAAAGTTCTTTTTTTCTTTCCAGGCCCACCCCTCTGAAATAAATATCAGAGCTGCTATAGGCATCTGCAATGAAGTGGAAGGGATAGGAACAGAGCCCCATGCTGACTGACTGGCATAAGTAAGGAAAGCCAATTACTTGCTTTTACCACATACAACTTCTGACGTGATGCTCTTCACAGTAAAAGCTTTAACAGGCTGCACTTTAAATATTTTAGCAATTTGCCCAATCATATTTTGCTTTCCCAAACTGAAGCCCTTTAAAGATTCAACAGTATGTCATTTTAGAGCAGACTGACTAACAAATGCCCACATCTGGAATACATGATTTTAATACCAAACAACAATGTCCATTTGCTCTGACAACTCTACCTGTGATAACCTTCTAAGTGTTTTTGCAGCAAGATTTTAAAGCACACAGCTTCTCAAAGGAGAAGCAAATGAAAGACATTTTTATAAACTTGCTTTCCAGCTATATAGCTACATCTAAGCACAGATAGATACAGTTCTTTAATTTATATGCTAAAATCAAACATTAAGCTAAGTACTAAGTGACTCCAACACTCTCTGATGCTAGTGAAGACCGCTAAGTGACTGCATTATACAATAGCATTAGGAGAATTGCGTTCACAAGGCACGGGGTAAACTGACCCTCAAATCTTAAAATTAATGAGAGAATCGAGTTTTGTCTGGAAAGCCATAGCCTTTACCTCAGTTTTTTGTCATGAATGCTTGAAATATGCTGATACAGAATTGTAACATTTCAAGGAAGAAAACGTCTGCAATGTAGGAATATGCTAAGTACTCTGGGACAGGTATCCAAATTTTAAAGAAGTTTGCATTTTGAAGCCTGTTAAAGAAATGCCAATACTGTCTGAGCTCTTAAAACTGCAAAGTTTCCTGCTTTTAAAGCATTTGAGCCAGCATACTGTGGCAAGAACCTCACTTCTGTATCATCTACTGAAAGACTGTGAACATAGGGTGTGATATAGGTTAATTTACCCTGAATATAGTATGGTAAATTACCACACAACCAACAGTTATATTTGCATGCCTGAGAAACGTATAATCTTGAATTTCATCAAGGTGATTAATTAGTGTAATTTTATTATCACTGATTACAGACCCATTGAAATCACTGGAAAATTCTGACACATTTCATTCAAACAGGGTCAACTCCAAAGAAAGTTCCTCAAAAAAGCTGAGAAACTAGTAATACAACGTTCCACTTAAACAAGAATCTTTTGATGCTTTAAGACAATCAATGCACTTCATGGCAAAGGCATAAGTCAGACTCATCTGGAAAAAAGAAACACTATGTTTTCAAAGTTGAAACTGGCAGTACATAAGCCTCTAGGGGATTGCCTGGAGTCTCTGACCCTACTCCAGGTTTAATAATGACAAGCCTTGCCTAAGTGCGCTATCTTTTTTGTAAGAAGCAGAGATGAAAAAGCTGTATCAAAGGGGTCTATTGTGAGGGTTTGGTTGAGTTTTTGTTGTGTTTTCCTTTTTTTCTTTTTAATTTCTAGAAAAATATCTAGACTCTACATTCTCTTACTCCATTCATCAGCAACCTGCAGCCACGGTAGTTCTGACTGAGAGCTAACTGTGATGCTGTTTATTGGGAATTCCCATCTTTTCATAGTTGCATGTAGTACAGTAAGTTCTGCAACTGTGAACACAATAATATTCAAAGGTTTTAATAACGTTCAGACAACATTTAGTGGTGCTTTGTCCTAGCTGTTTTCACCAATGGAATGGGTTAGCTATACGTTTCAAAATAAGAAAGTTTGCCAAAAGATTAGGAATTTTCAGGAGTTTCCACTGAGAAATATCTGTCTTTCTGTTGCTTTAGGGTTTATGTTTCCCCCCCCCAATACTTTCACAAAACATTTCTTCATGAGTTTTCCTAGAAGAGTACTGAAACAAAAGCCAAGTTCACTGATTAAATCACCTTCTTTTCCTTTCAGAAATCAAATGCATATAAGAAGGAATTTTCCCCCCCACCCTTCATCAGAGAAACTATAATAAAGCAATTTAAAAAAAATGCCTCATTCTAATTTTCTAATCAGTGTTTCTTTTCTGCTCTGAAAATAAAATTAAATAGATCATCTGAAGCTTTAACACAAATGAGTGTTTAGCAATATTCTAATCCCAGTCACAAAACCAATTCACAGAAATTATACAAATTGAAAGGAATGTTATAACAAAGCAGGTGGTAACAGATATTTGACATCTAATTATGGTCAAATGCCTTGAGGTTTGAGTCAATTTTTAGAGTATGAGCGCTCACAGCCTAGTATAGTTCTTTTGAGCTTTGCATCCTAAAAGGAATATTCAAAGTAGCTTGTGGCAAATGTTTACTAGAATATCTTAGATTTAAACATAAGTGGGCTATGGAAAGAAAAACGAATATGAATTGTCAGACATAACTCCCTGTTGAAGTTTTAAGTAATAAATTGTGATTTTTTTAAAAAAAAAGCTTTAGGGTGTTTTGTTTTGTTTTGTTTGTTTTTGTTTGGTTGTTTTTGTTTGATTTTTGTTGGTGGGTTTTTGTTTGTTTGTTTTGTTTTTAAATCAATACATGCACTTATTAGCAGTATCATAAACTGTTTGGACTCTGCTTCACTGCTTGGAGTATAGCAAGGGGAAACTTTAAAGGGAGCAAACAGGATGGGACACATCCTGTATGGGAAAGTATGTTAAGAAATACTACTGTACTACTTTTACTCTAGGAGAATGGATTATTGCCTGAGGAAACTGCGATAAGACTAGCCACACTTTGTGTTTCAGAATCTATGGGGTTTTACATGTAAGTGTGTTTATTAAATTTAAATCTTTTGGGCTAAGATATTATTTTAATCTCTCTTTAATCAATGTTCATTCATTTTCAGTAAAGTGATCCTTGAAGATGTCTATGGAGGTTACAAACTCTTTGGTACTAAGGTCCAACTTTGTCCTCAGATGTTAGAAGGTATGCTGGCTTGTATACTTAAAAATGGAACTGATCAGAACAGTAATAAAATAGTATTACTACTTTGGACACATACATCCTCATTAATCTGATGATTTAAACCTTTTTGGCAAATACTAAAAATTAATTAAGACAGACACGCAGAGAGGCCAAGACTGTCAAATCTGCCTAAGGCATTTGGACACCCTCTTCCCATTAAAATTTATATTACACAAAGCATTACAGTTGTTGCCCTTACAGCCAGATCATGGACTGAATGTTTCTAGAGCCTCTCTGCCTCCTCACCCTTGAAGATGGCCCTGTCAAGCTGTGCTTGAGTCACATTGGTAGGTTACTGTAGAAATGTTATATCTGTGCTGAATTATTGTGGTCATCCAGGCTGTAAAGTCGTCTGCTTCAAAAATTCAAATCATAGGCAGAAAAACACCTAACAATTAAATCCATACTCTTTGTTTTAATTGAGATGTTGGTTTTTGTCATTTGCAATGACCAAAGCATTTGGTCATTCCATCTAGGAAAAGGCAGGCATGTATAGCCTGTATGGGAGGAAAGGAAGAAAAGTTAGATTTCCATCATCCATAGCCCTAGTTTAAAAATAGCTTCTCAGGTTCTTATGGCAGATATTACATACGCATGACTTAAAATGAAGAGCAAAGTACCATCTTTTCAAGGTTTTGAAGAGCATATAATGCCACTTATGTGCAATTAAACTTGAAAACGATGCTAAATGCCATGCTACAGCTGCAACCCCAAAAAGCCTGCCTGGAAGACAACAGCCTAAAGCAAAACCATAAATCCCACTTCCAGCAAACCTACTACAAGGAAGTCAGCATTACATTTTAAAGAGCACTGTGTTCCATAACTACTGCAAAATTGGAGTTTTTGAGTCTGAAACTTTTGAGTACTGACTGGGGACGGACAGAACTGAAAAGACCATTCCAGACTAAATGGCTGCCTCATTAAATGACTACTGTTTAGCATAACCTTGTATTTTGTCACCCTTGTCTTAACCCTCTTGCTATTTATATCCAACAAGCAACATACCCTCATTGATCTGCAGTGGAACTACTCAACGTGCTGAGCACTGAGAACAAGAACACTATACAACCAGTAGGGAGGACCCTGGTGCTATTTGAAAATAAACTGTAGTCTGATAGTCTTTACACATTAGTAAGACAATGTCTTGGCTAATTTTTATTCTGCCCTCCAATAAAACTCTCCTTACATAAAGTCAAGAGCAAAACACACCTGGGAAAGAACACAACTCCTCTTTCATCTGCATTTGTTAAAGTCTGCAATTGTGCCTTTCTCAGGTAGATATAATGTATCTGGTTTTTGCACACAAAAAGATGGTTAGCAGTCTCCTGCTCAAGATTCAGGGTCTTGAAACTCACGCTGCCTGTGGTTCAGGAATTTCAGGTTTTCCTACCTGACTTACGTGAATGTATCTTTAAAAGAGTGTGTACACACATACTTTATTTTAGGAGGAAGGAATGGGTTTGCTGAAGGTAAAATAGGAATTGAAGACACGCTAGAGAATGTCTCATGTCTTTGAAATTTCTCCTAAAACTATCCTAACAAATTGTGGCAATTAACATGCTGTTAGTGTTAGATGTATACAGCCAGTGCAGGTGCTAATAATTGAAAAAGCATTTAGAGCTTTTACACCCTGGCTGAATATTTCATGATGTGCTGCATGTTTCACTATTTACTCAGTAGGCCTCTGTCACTTCAATCTTCTCTGATTGCTGTGACTGGTGCTAT